TTTATAAAATTTTTATGACTAATCCATAATGATAGTTTTTCTTAGTGTGCTATGTGTGTTGGTTGCCGACGAAGCTCTTTTCAGTTAAGTAGAGAATTATGTCACTATGTTGCACTGGTTGCCTGATGATGAGGCCATTTCTTGTGGCAGTTTAAATATATGTTACGATCTTGCGTTTTGTTGTTAAATACATCATGTTCAAAATTGAACATAATGCCTATGCATAAGCATTATGTTATATTATTTGAAATCACGGGTATTAATTTTACGATATTTAAATGTATTTTATTTCCTATACCGACCACAGGCTTCGCGAGCAGACTCTCCCCAGTAGACTACTAAGTCGTATCATTTCTACTAAATAATTTGTTGTGGATGATTACCTTAAATCTCTTAAATGAGATACCAAAAATATCCGTATCTATTTGCAAGGAACTGACACAGCAACATCAGTGGTGTTGTGTAGGTCCTCGCATGTGCAGGTGTAGGGACATGCAGGCCAGGACAAAAGGTGTGCTATTGTTTGGACAGGTATATGAAGGTACTAAATTCGATTCACGGTAAAAAGATCTCTCCGAAATCGAAACTTAACATAGGTACAGTCTTTAAAATCAAATTTATTTCCTACCCTAAGTCATAAAGCCACATGGTGATGAAAAGACCGGTAGAGAATGCTTTTATTTTTTTGTGCCTGTAGTTTTACCAGCACCCTTACCCTTCAAAACCGGAACACAGTAATACTATCATTACTGCTTGGCGGCAGAAATAGTTAAGGTGGCAGTACTTCCCTGGACGAACTTTCACAAGGAGCTCTACTGCTACTACTGAAGACGAGGCGGTATAGATTTTGACTCAAGCCTTTTCGTTTCGGACGAAAAAAAATTTACTGTCATGCATACCATACTGCCTCGTTTCCAGTAAGTAGATATATTTTAATACTTTAACTTAAAATAACCAAAATGGTAGCGAACAAAATCATTACCTTAAAGACTTAACATGAATTACCACCTCAAATGCGTATTATAATATTATACTTGATTCTTCACGACGCGACGCACTGACAAAATTATGATGGACATAATGACTAAATGAATATGTATGGGCCGCAAATTTCTCATACATTATACTTGTATTATGTGCGAGATTAAGTTGTTAGATCAAAGTGTGCGTTACTTTGAACGATTTATCACTTTAACACAAAGCCGTGGCGAAGGCTGAGTAATTAAGTAAGTAATTAATTTATTCATTGCGTTTTAAACACACACCTTTTAACCGAGTTTAGTCCATGACAAAAAAGCAAAACGTTCCAACCTTCTTGACAAGACGTCTCAGGGCGTACTCGATTATCCGTTTCTAAACATCTAGTGTATTACACTGCTGATTATATCCCAGATTTAAACTAAAAAGATCTGTTCAGTAGGTACATACAGGGATATTGATACATCGATCACTATTATAATAAATAAAAAATAAAATACTCACGTTCGGCGTGAGGATCTTTAAGAGCCGATACACAAGGCACCGTCCGTTAGTGTCCTCAGAATGCTGTTGGGGCTGTTCACGTCTTACTGACACGATTTTTTACGCAATAGAGGATAAAAACAATCAGTATGTGCGTCCGCAAACATACCAGAGTCACTGTAGTATCTGAGCAACTCCAAGAACACCCTAAACATTATATTACGACACGCAGTTCGCTGAAAGCCTACCACCACATGCCGCTTTGAACAATGTCACTTATAGTCTCCGTAAACATCGGGGCATACCTATGCCAGTAATCGGTTGGGTAAACAGAGACTATCTTCGGTTCTTATAGTATTTTTTTTTATAGTATTATGTGAGGGGTCGAACAAGTCGTATGCCTGGTGGTAAGCGACACGCCTGTCCCTAACAATTGCAATGCCACTCATAGAGCTTTAAATCACAAAGATCTGAAGGGCTCTGCTACTGAATAAGTTGACAAGTCCTATGTACCTGTATGCTGAAATTTCACCAGCACCCTTACCTTCGAAACAGAAACGCGGTAATGCTCACATTACTGCTAGGCGGCAGAAATAGGTAAGGTGGCAGTATCCACTTCCCTGGACAACTTTCACAAGGGGCTCTATTGCTACTGATTATTAATTAGGGTATCTATTGTAAATTGTCGCCTCTCAAAAAGGCACATTTTGAGTTTTTAAAATACAGATATGATATTTCCCGGCCGTGTTACTATCGGTCGGGGTTAAGGACTCAGGTTTAAGAACCAGTCATGCGTGTCGTAAGCATTAGGCCAAGAAAAATGTAACCGTCTCAAAGTGTTAACGATACTGGCTCGATTTAATTAACCCGGTTGCGGGCAAAACAATTGGTATCCCGTGAAGACCATATTATACCACTTGTCGGGGAACTCGTGCGATAGATACTTTTAACGTTTCTCGGTTTCGGCTTTTACGATTGTTATCTATGACATTTGAAATAAATCCAGGAGGTTTACCACGAATTACTATACTACGTGACAACGAAGATCATATGACAGCTATCATATCGAATTTTGACGTTACTTTCATAGTTACTTACATGTGTAGTTTTGTTATGTTGACATACCGCAAGTCCCCAACCCGCATTGGGCCAGCGTGGCGGACTATGGCCTAAAAACCCTCGTCTAAAAGGAGACCCATGCCCAGCAGTGCGACGTATAAAGGGGTTGATGATGATGACATACCGTACTGTTAATACAATAGTGTATTAACTCAAAAAGTGATTTTTTTTCAAAATCGATGAAAATTGAATTACTCCCATCCAGTGAAATATTATTAATATATATGTATAGCTTAAAGTTTATTTATTACACGCATCTAAACAATTCCCTACAATTAAAAGGAAAAAATAACTTAATATTTTTTAGAAACTTATTTATTAAGACTTATCCTTAATATTTATCCAGAAATAGTTCGCAAAAAATTTGTCTCATTTTGAGTTAAGTAGATTTATTTTAATTATTTTTTACAATATTTTAACGGCGGTTTTAATGACGTGTAGATTGAATGAAATTTTACGTTCAGCAACAGTATAATCTTGAATTTCACATATTTTGAGTTACAACACTATTGTAATAGCAGTGCGAATTATGTAAAACAGACGTTATATGTATATGATGCATTTCGAAATTGGAAACGTAAACATTTTATTGTCTTTGTTTAACTACTGCGTGCCTCCTTTATTTTTTTCCACTCTCTTAGGTAGTGAGGAGAAAAACAAGCGTCGAATCGACAAATCGTCAATAAAGTAAAACATTATATTCTGTGGAGACGTTGATTCACTGACACTAGCGATGATCGCCATAATTTTTATAATAATTTTATAAAACTGACACTGGCACAAGCCTGGTGGCCGCCATAAAGGAAATAAAATACGTATGAGCTTCGTTGTATAGTAACGCATTTCGTGGTTATCTTCTGATAAATGTGTGCAAATGTCTAAATTAAAAACCCTACAGTATCTCACCTATTCTTCCCAAGGAATATGTATTCCAAGTGTGTAGTAGTGCTCAATCAATTTGATGATTTGAAGTGTAATTTGCTTACTAGTGAATTACATTTGATTTTTTTTGACGAGATCTGCATCATGTGGGATGGTAACGTCCACAAGATATAATATGTCAGGCTTATTATGACTATTATAGTTCTTTGTGCAGAGTTACTAAAACATAAATGATGTAACGTTGTAAAATCCTCAGCCATTCCAGATATTAACTTTACACAAGTATCAGTAGATCGACGCAGCATTACAACAAATATGGTACATTAGCGCGCTCGCTGCGCCCGCGCACCGGAGCAAGAATGCACTTTCTTGTTACTGATGCGTCACGGACAATCTTCCTCGTGTGAGATGTGCTGTGAAACACCGCAAATTTTATGAAAAAAACTCGGTACCGATGTAGAGTCATATTATAGATGCTTTCTCGGCGAATCAAATGGTTTCTGTTTTTTTTATGTGTAATTAGTTGTTTTTTGGGTTTTGCTGTAACTGTTAATGTATTTTTGATTATATAACACATGCAAATCAGAAAAATCGGCAGTTAAAATGTTCATTTAAAATCCAATACAAGCTATTAGGTGAAAGTGAATAAATAGCCTTATTATGCCAAAAACGTAGTTCATATTGTTGTAATGCAAATTCTGCGAAACATTTATACCTACTTACACACGTTTCATTATTCCAAATCTTTAGTTTCTCAATTTCTATTCTGCTCTGTCACAACATCATCTAACGTAACAATCCGTTTTGAATAAATCTAATAAAACTGGTATTGCGAAACTCTTTCCTCTCTTTTTGTGGACATAATAGCGTCACGTAACTCAAAAGCTAAAAATAATATATTGTTGTCTTACATAAATTACTGTAATAATAATAAAATTATCGTAAACTGACTTCTTACATGAAGCCGTTTGACCTAGCAGAGGCCGTAGGTCCGAATGCGGTCTCGCACCTCCGAGTTTTTCGGATGTTGCCCAATCCGCACCTCTCGCCTGAGAGAAGACCCGTGCCCAGCAGTGGGACGTACAAATGGGTTAATGATGATGATGCTGATGACTTCTTACATTGTAAGGATAAAAGTCGTAATTTATTTATTTACTTACTACCACATCATATTAGTAATATTATATTACAGCATTTGAACATTCAATATACTGTGTTAGTTCTAATATGTGACAGTTACGGTGTACATACCATTTATAATAAAAGGTTTAATAAAAGTATTTAACCTTACATTAACTAATACCTAATTTTGGATTTGAGTTTGAATAATTTGACATTTTTTTGAAGCTGAAGTGGCATTTGGTTGGCCATTTCTGTCAAGGGAGCGAGAACCCACGGGGGGAAACGAGCTCTTAAGTGGAGATCACGACTTATTGCCATACGTAGTGTAGAACGCCCTCCATCTATTATTTAAAGGCGCTAGAGATAGAATAATCCACCACTTGCGGTGACCTGATATGTATTTTTCTTCTTTCCAGACAGAAAATGACTTCGACAGAAGACGACAAGTACCCCTGGGGCACCCTGGCTTCACTGAACACCAGACGAGATTCGGGCTGAATTCGCCGCTGCAGAATTTCCCGCAGCCAAGCCTCATCAGCAATCCAACTCCAACTCCTTTATTCCAACAACCTATTTTCCAGCAGCCACAACAACCTTACGTACCCCAATTTAACAATCTCCTCCCTACTCAAAGTTTACAAAATATCCAAAGTTTACCTCTGGCGAACAACAATGCCTTCCAGTTTAATCAAGTTCCCAATGTCAATGGACCCGCTTTACAAAACGCCTTCCAACAACAGAATCTGAGACAAATTTCACAATCTCACAGCCCAATTTCACAACCAAATCAAGCTGTTCTCTCTCAGACTGTTCCTACTTTGTCTACTTTCCAAAATAACGTCCCTATAGCTCAAAACCCAGTGTATAACCAAAACCCAAGTGCTACTGTCCATATAGGCAATCAACGGCCGACTCAGGCTGCTTTCTTGCCGACACTTCCTACGGTTCAAACATTCAGCCAACCTAGTCCTATTACTATCCAACCAGCACCAAATCTAGCACCACAAAACCCTCAACAAACATTGAACTTAAACTCGCAAATTCCGTTCTTACAACCCATAGCGCAAACGCCTTTACTCCCTAATGGTCAATCAGGTAATCTTGCTTCCATTCCCTCCCTTGAACAACAGTCTAAGGAAAACTTGGAGAAGCTGAAGGAATTACAAGAAAGACAAAGAATCATTCAGAAACATCAAGAATTTGTTCAAAGACAACAGCAAAAACAGCAAGAGAAAGTAGAAAAGCTTCATGAAGAATTTCTCAATAAACAAGCGACAAAATCCATTCCCATTTTCTCAACAACAGAGAATTACGAACAGTTCTTTAGAAATCAGGAGAAGCGCAGACCAATTCACCCACATGAGACGGATTTATTTAGGAAAGCCGTTGAGATGTACGAGAGGGAGCATCCGACAACTCCGACCACCACCACTACAACCACTACTACAACTGTACGACCGCCACCCACGCCAAGGTACACCGCACGACCCAAACCGAAATCCAGAGCCCCTCCACAAGACAGAAACAAGCAAAAACTATATAACGAAATAAAAAGCCTTTTAGAAGAAAGTGAAACAAAAGGATTCGATGACAGTTTGAGAGCTAAGAGCGTGGCTTTACTTCAGAAACCTGATATTCTCAAGCAACTGAGAGTAGCGTTGGCTGAAAATCCAGAAGATTTCAATGAGAAAAATTTCACGTCCCGTGAGATTTCACTAAATGGTCAAAAATTCGAAGTTATCAGAACAACGAACCCAAACTTAATACCACAGGGAGCGATAACCACTGATGGTGCTGGTTTAGCTAGAATTATGTCTGGTAATGCTGAGCCACAAAAAGAGAGTCGCATCAACATTGAGGATTTCACTAAAGGTGTGCTGCCACCTGGTGCGGACTTCGAGCTTATCAAACAGTCTGAGAATGGGCAACTCGAAGAAGTTTCTAAGATCCCGGGTGCTTTACAAAATAAAAAGAAAGTCACCTTTGTGTTCCTTGAAGAGCAAGACGATGGATCATTCAAAGTAAAAGCCGTTAAAGCAAACGGTCAACAAACCGAAGAAGGTCCTGAAGTAGAAAACATTTTGAATAAAATTAAAAATGGTGAAATTCAATTACCTGGTGGACCCGCGAAGATATCGAACAGTATTTTCAGTTCGACAACAGCTAGTCCCATAACTGATGCTACTGATTATATAGCAGAATCGTCTCACCATCCTTCAAGCTATTCGAGTTTTGTTACTACTTCGAACCGTGGAAGTACTGGTCACACGAATCCAGTAATTCATACAACGCCATTACCGACGTATCGGAATACAATTTCTCAATCATCGAGAACAATAGCACCACAAACTCAGACTTTCGCCCCTGTAACAACTACTCAAAGATATGCTTCTCAGTCTACAACGACTGCTTTCTCGCCAACCAGATATTCGCCAACACAGAGAAACTCGTTCCCAAGTTCAACGATAGTTAACACAACACCTTTCTATCGTCCAACACCTCAAGATCTTGTAGTTATTGGCTCTACTACACCTGCGCCATCTGTAGACGCGCCGGATTCTCATTTGAGCTTCGCATCGAGACAGTCTAACCCGGGACTTGTAGAGATTTTGAGAGAAAATGGGCTCTTCGCAATGTCGAAATATCTGAAACAGTCTGGTTTGGATACTATTTTGAATGAAACCGGACCTTATACGATCTTCTCTCCTACGGACAAGGCGTTCAGGACTTTATTGGTGCAACTTGGTGGACCTGACAGGGCAGAAGAGAAATTCAAGGACAATCCAAGACTTTTAAGTGGCGTAAGTTAGAGTTGATACATCCTAGATGAAATTTATAAAAGCACTATTATTACAAAAGAGATACTTAAGTTGTTGTGTTTTGTTTAGCTTCTCCTGCACCACGTGATTCCTGGAGCTTTCGACATCGGCTCTCTTCAAGACGAGATGACCGGAGTATCGCTTGCGGGCACTCAGCTCAGAGTAAATCAGTATGACATGCATGATGTGGAGTGGAACGAGGTCCGGATCACGACTATCAACGGCGCCAGAGTTTTGGATGACAAGAAGGATATTCATATACCGCAAGTAAGTTATACATTATAAAGCGTGCCAAAAATTCAATTGACTAACATTTTTTCAAGTCTAAATTACATACCTACACAAACAAACCAAAGTGTACTCTGTTAGCCCCCACTTCTCGTTCAAAACGAACCTGTGACACTATAGAACACTTTTATGTTCCTAATCCAATTCCAATTTTTTCCACTATTCCTTTACAGTTAGCGCAGCTCGTGTGTGGAATAAATTACCTGCTAGCATTCGCAACAATCCGTCTGTTGCATCATTCAAATGCAAATTAAAAGAGCACTTGCTGTTAAACTCGGAAGTTAATCAGTAATATAAATATAAACTAATAATTTGTTTTAATAATAATATATATTATGTATGTATTTATGTATGTAAACTTTATGTAGGTTTATATTTCAGCCATATGTATATTGTCGCATTTGATAATCATATTTACATCTGAATTTTAATAAATTTATTGTACAATAATGTCCCGCAAATTCAGTTTATTCACCACGGCTAGAGTTGGCTGGAAGAGATCTCTTCTAGAGATAAGCTCATCTTTGTATATGTACTTTGTAACTTGTAATGTTTAATGTCATTTATTTGTGCAATAAAGAATTATTATTTTTAAAGTTTCTTTCAAAGGCTCTTTACTGATCTTATAGTCACGGCAGACTTTGTTTTCATTTCTACTATGCTACTAGAAACTAGTTGCATGTGACAATCTTCATCGACCTTAATGCTTTGACCTTAATCGCTTTTATCTATCTCATCCACCAGCGGACCCTGGTGTTATGTAACAAAATGTAAATTAGCTATAGGCGCTGCGGTTTGAGTTTCGGTTTAGCGAAGAATTGGGCTGCACCTGGTGTAATCGTAATGAAAAAACATCTCTGGCCTTATTATCAATACTTCTGATGCAATAAATCACCAAATTTAAAATGTTGCTAATTTGTTGAGAAACAAATTGAAGTGACCTAATTTACTTGTAACTCATTTTATTACAAGTCTTTTAAGTCAATAGTACCGTTTTATATATTTCTTGTTCCAGGGCATAGCACACGCGGTCGATCGAGTGATGTTCCCGCTTCCAGTGGGAGACTTGGTCCAGACCCTGCAGGCTGACCGGGATCGTAGGTTCACCACTTTCATCAAAGCTATCCAAGCTAGCGGCTTCGCAGATACCCTTGCTGGTAAGTTGAAATACATTGTTATTTAGGGCAAATTTATTTATTTAAAAATAATTTCCATTCTTGCATATTATATGTAGAAGCAGGTGGTAGTATATTATTATAGTGGCGGAAATGAAGAATCGGCTGCGTAACGGGTTTTATAACGGTCTTTATTTGAAACAACGCAGAGAAAAATATTTTTCAACTAAAGATAAAGCACCTCTTACACAGACAATTAAATCAACCCTTTCTCTAAATGAAACAGTGTTACTATTTTACAATTATTATCTTAGTTAATATTATTGTTACAATTATTATATTTACTATATTCGCCGATCGATATTAATTAATAACAATAATAAACAACGAAACCTCGTCGTCATATTTACAAAGCAGATTAGATGGAGTATCGAATCATAATTGTATATACATATATTTATGAAAGTATAATATATCGCTATTTATTTATTATGTATTTGATAAATTACAATTTAATTTTTATACAATTACAATTTTTTTATTTATATAATCATTTATAATTGTCAATTGGCACACTTCTCCCGCTCCGATTAGCTTTCGCTAGATCGCTCCTTGCGATAAGACCGCCTTTGTCCACATTAGTTTTAAATTATCTATGTACTGTTTTTGATCTAGTGTATATCTATCTATCTAGTGGCAAGGTGACCGATTTAACTATATTATTTAAGAGCCTGCAACAGGTGTAGGGCTGGTGTTGGTAAATGGGGCCGCTAACAGTATCGAATCACACTGCATACTGGTGTCCGTAATTTGTGAAAGGAGCATCGAACAGGGAAAGTTAATGTCTTAAAATATGGCTGGATACTTTGCAGTGAAAATTAACTTTTATTGAGCCCTACCATTAATATCTTCTTAGTGAAAGTCACCAAGTAAGTATAGACACAAGCAGCGATAAGATTTGCAGTGTAATATCACTTTTTTGAAATGCATATGGAAAAATACAATTCCAATTAAAATTTTATTATTTATGTGCTGAATCAGGAGCACCTTTAGATTGACACTTAAGGTTTAAATTCAACTCTATGGCGCTTGCAATAACAATGATTTAAGATCCAAAGTATCATGCTTGATGTGTTCTTAACTGTACCTACTGTAAGCAAATTGTATTAATGGTAGTAATGTAGATGATTTTAATTTATGTTTAATTTCATTCGATTTTGTAGTCGAAAAGTGATCGCTTCTATAACGTGCAATTGATTTCTTGAACGCAGTCATAGTCAAGATTAAAATTTAAAAAAAACGATCCGTACACTTTTCGAATACATTTTTTATCCAACGGCTGTTATATTATGTTAAAGAGTTGTTGCGAAATTGTAAAGTGCGAATAAACTGCTTTATTAGTCTCCAAGCGTATTTTTAACTTTAATTCTTCTCCCGAGTCTCTTGGTGGGCAAAGTTTTACACTACGACAAAGTTAATTTAACCTACCTAAGCAAACAAACAATGTATCAAGTAGGTACATAAATCAAGAAAGTTATAAGTAGCGGTAGAGGTCCTTGTCAAAGAGTTCGTCCAGAGAAGTACTGCCACCTAAATTATCTCTGCTGCCAGGCGGTAATGTGAACATTACTGTGTTCTGGTATTGAAAGGTAAGGACGCTGGTTAAATTACAGGCACGTGAGACTACTTACTCAACTTACGTCTCAGGGTGCCGGGCGCAGTGACAGTGCCTCTCAGATCTTTGAGAAAAAAAAAAAAAAAAAAAAAGCTCTGAGTGGCACGGCAACTGTTAGGGGCACGTGTGTCGCGTACTGCCAGGCGAGCGACTTGTTCGTCCCGTAACTTGGTTACAAAAAAAAAGATAACAGAAACAGTTATTTTTTTTGCCAGCGGAGATTGTAACTAGTCTTGCGCCTTATTTTGTGTAAAACTGTTTTTAATACACTAGCTGTACCTGGGGGTCTACTCTCGATCTCCGTCCGACATCCGTCCGAAACAATTACTGCCAAATAAGCAATACTTGACCAAAAGAAAATACGCGTGATGCGAATGAAGCTACATACTTGATATTTGTCTTTTATTTTTGTCAAATATTCCTTATTTGACAGTAATTGTTTCGGACGGATGTCAGACGGTGATCGAGAGTAGACACCCTGGTTATAATGTGTTGCATTGGCGCTGCCAAAGTTTTATCGAAATTGAAGTCAAAGTCAAAGTCAAAGATTATTTATTCCATAGGTAAAATAAATTTACACTTGAAAACGTGACAGTTAATCTACTGCTCGTCTCCCTGAGAAGAACGAGCAAAAAACTCTCGGGATTGCTCTTTTCAAATAAACTTAAATGCTATGGAATACACTATGAATCAAATTTGTGTGGATTCTGGAGCCATGTCGTCTTTCCATACATCTTTATCTCACACGTAGTCTTCAACTTTGTAATATGATTTTTCGATCAAAATATTTTTAATGTAGTTTTTAAACTTAGGAATTGATAAACTTAATATATGCTCCGGAATCTTATTGTAAAAACGTATACAGTATAATACGTATCATAATGCAAAGCATATAAATAAATAAATTTTGGTCGCACTATTTCAACGTAGGTGTTAAAAAATTTATATTTGAATTGTATTCTCAACTTCCAGAAAGTAAAACGTATACGATCTTCGCGCCAACGGACGCTGCGTTCGCGCGTCTGGCGCCGGCAGAAATCGCGCGCTACGCGGAGAAGGCCGCTGCGCGGGCACTGGTCGCTCGGCACGTGCTGCCGGGCACGCTGTACAGCGCCGGAATGAGATATTACCAACTTCGGAATTCCATGGAGGACGCTAAACCGCTAACGCTGCAGAAGAATTCCGGTGAGTACTTTAGTAGGTAGATACTGTAGTAGACGATAAATACGAGCACCTTCTTATAGCGTTAGGTCAGTTATTACTGACTACTAATTTGCTCATCAAATTGAGCAGGCGCTTCTACACGTTCGTTACCGAGAAATGCAGAGAATTATTTTTACTTACTTATTTTTACTTTCACTAAAATTAATTGGCCACCACAACTAGGTGACTACTCGAGGACATTAGTTCTTTTACAGAACCTCTAATCGTTATAATCTGTTTAATCCTCTGTGCCTTATATTTATTTATTTTTGCCATTTCCGCTATTAGATTTAAAAACTCAATATATTTTACAGGCCGCATAAAAGTGAACAATGCGCAAGTGATAACGCACAACATCCCAGCTACCAACGGCGTCATCCACGCAATTGACAACATTTTGTAATCAAATTCGCGCTGCGCCCGCGCATTTACCCGCCAAATTAGCTTCAGTGAAGCTTAGTATACCTTACAGATGTCATGATTTGATTAGTTGTTCTAAAATACGTTTTGTTTATTTTTGTGTTGTAAAAACATTTTTTGTTGCAAAAAAATCAAAAGTTTTAGTCCATGGAACTAGTATAAATAATAGTCGTATAGAGGGAGCATCGACATTGGACATTGCCAACTAAAATTTTATGGAGTCGAGCTAATGTCCAGTAAACGATGACCCCTAACATTGGTTACTTTACAATAGATTTTTTTGTTTGTTTCCTCAGAATATTATGCTTTTATCAAATCTCGTTGTCTGTAAGGGTTAACACCCATAATTCTTCTAATAAAAACATTTGTCGAAATTAATTTTATTATTAAGACTGTAAATATAAACTTAATTTAAGAGAATAATTTATAAATGCGTGTAAGTGTTTTTTGTAAATAAACTTTTTATGTACAACTAACTATATTTTGTTTTATTTAAAAGTAAAAAATAGAGATGAGCACATGCGGCAAGCATCAAGGAATATTTGGTTGCCGGATATCAGGTCCATTCCTGCCAAGTTGTAGAAGCTGAAAGAACTCCACAGAAAATTCTGTCGACAAAACTTACTAAGATGCCGTGCGATGAATCATCCAGTGAAAGTGCATCGTCCTATCCAACATCTGCTAAAGAAACATTGTGAGGGGACCACATCAACCGTCACTCGCGAATCTCACACCTTTCCATATTGTATTGAGTAGGTCAACAGTCCATGCTGCGGTTCTTGCCACTATATAATATGAATAAGGCTTTTGTTCAAACAAAACTGTGTAACAATATTATTACATTTTGTTGCAATTAAGACATTTGTTGTCTGTAAATGCCTACACCTACGGGTAAAATATTCTAAAAACAATGACTGCGACAAGAATTATCGATATGAGGAATAAGCAAAAGTTTCATTTAAACAAAGTGAATTGTTAGAAAAGTAAAAATTAAAAAGAGAACAATGCGTGCGTGCGCGCGTTATATATACAGCTAACTTTAAACAGAAAAAGTACTTTTTTCTTTTAAAATTGTTATTTAGTCTATGATTTCAAAAATAGGCGGGAAAGTTTCAAGTTTAAAGTTCATGAAAAGCGCCCGGGTCTGGTCGATCGTAGAAGTGTCATATTTCAACATGATAATGCCAAACCACACACATCTTTAGAAAGCTGTCAAAAACGATTTCTAGCGCCTGTTCTCGTTTAGGACGAAAATAAATGGAACCGACTTTTACCACTTAATATATAAAATGGTCAACTCTGATGCATCCTGGCTTTGTCTTTGGTTAAATTTGAGTATATTTGTTATTTCATAGTTTACGTTATATAATTTCATAATTCCTTACAGTTACAAATAATAAACATATTGTCAACAATCTTGTGGCTCCTATTTACACTTTTAATATACACTAGTGAATAAATAAATTTATTTGGCGTACTTATTGAAATATTTCAGTTTTAAACATTCGCCCAGATATTATTCTACTATAGTAAAACAATATTAGGCTGGTTAGTTACCAGCTTGGTTACTGGATATCCTTGTGACGTGTGACGTATTTTGAAAGGTTAGCTAAAAACAATAAATAAAACAATTTTTAAAGAATTTTGATTATTAAGGATTATAATTAGTTAAAAATTAAACAACACACACTCACACACACAAATTTCAATACAATACTTAAGTACAATTTCGTTTTAAGATGGGTAATTCATTTTCGCAAGCATCATTTTCAGTTTAGCAATTTCATCATCTTTAGCGGCTAGTTCCTCTTTCAAAGATTTGATTGTGTCGTCTTTGTTTTCAGTTAGATTCTTCAGCTCCTCCAAAAGTTGGGGCGTATCAAGGCGTTTACTCGGGCGGCGCTGCACCAACTTCCCAATTATATGAGCAATCTTCGGGTAATTGGCAGTGAGGTGTGCTGGTATTTGTCCCTTGCGGAGATCGGTTATTGTCTTCACGCGTTCCATGTCTGTACTGAACGGCTCAACCATTTCTAAGAGAATTATTCCGAGGCTGTACATGTCACTCTGGAAATAAGAATTGAAATCTTTGTAATTTAAGTTTGTTCAGTTTGGTTGTAAGTTCCATTACCTTATCTAGATTTGCTTACACACTAAACTTCTTGCATATAAAAAAATTATATTATTAATTATCATACTACATGAATTCAGAATTGAACACACTTCTGCAAAAACTTACCTTCGGATTGCATTGCCCATCTAACTGCTCAGGCGCAGCATACAAATGTGTTCCAAGCGCCAAACCACTGTGAGATTGTTGCAACGGACATGCCAGACCAAAATCACCCAATTGGACCAGTAATCCACTTTCATTTTGAGCAACAAAAATGTTACTGGGCTTAATATCATGATGAATAATTCCACGAGAGTGTATGTAATGTAGACCGCGGACTAACTGTGTGAACATGTCAATCAGAACATCAATGTGTGTCCACGCTACTGGATAGTTGTAGTGATTCTGTGAATCGAGATCTGCAGAATCAGTTGAGTCACTATGAAGTAGCGTCAATTCTTCCGAATTCTTTCTTGATAATGTCATGTGGTTGTTGCGCTCGTCAAGCCATTGCTTTAAAGTCTGCTGGCAATATGTCATTTGGATGTATAAAGTAGCCCACTTTAAGTTAACTCGCGAGCAGTTTTCGTATGTTATATCAGTGAAAAGTTTGCAGACAGCGTTATCGTCCTGCGTTATACTTTCGTCGTCGCTTTCGGATTCTTCGGTCTCATCCTCGCTTTCTAGATGCTCAAAACTGTTGGAATTCTTGAAAGATATGATGAAATCGGACTGGCTCTTGTTGTTATTAGTAAGTTCATTGGAATTGTGAGTTTTAAATGACGTAATAACGTTAGGGTAAGCTGAAGAGGTCATATTAGAGCCAGCTGAAAATTCATTGCTGTCCATGTCCATTTTATATTTGCGCTTCTTTTTAACTGTAGACTCAATCATTGGTTCCAACCACGCCGCCTTATAATTGACGATGTTCGGATGGTTGAGACTTGCGATAGTTTTTACTTCCGAGAGATGGCTCATTACCGAGTTAACGTCTGAAGATTTGATGTAGACTTTCTTCACAGCATATTCGACGCCGTCTAAACGATGCCTTGCTTTAAATACAACGCCGAATCCTCCCCCAGCTATGCAGTAAAGCTCTTCGAATTCCCTGTGGTAACGTGACCATTCAAGACCTGAAGGCTGAACTATAGGCCAGGTTGCCGGTAGTGTTATTGGTATTTCTGATCCACTGGCAACTGTTACCAACTGATAGAGCGCTCTCTGGTATTGACTGCGCATGACTTCGAACTCTCCCATTGCGTAGGAGTTATCTATGAGATGCATACTGTGTAGTTTTTCACAGATGGTGTTGTAGAGAAGATTTGCGCGGGCAGTGTCTTTTTCGAGAAGTGAACAGAGCTGTTTGACTAGGGATTGGACAAGAAGGCTGATTGGAGTTGTGGTGCCAGCATGGACCACTTCGATCTGCTGCATACTCTGCTGGAATACTGAACCATGACGTCCGTTTGTTGTGTTACCTGAAATTAAGTAAAAATATATATTAGTGAATTTATTTTCCGTTTTATCTATATTCACTTCTGCATAAGAAAAATTACAGCAGTAATTTCAACTTTAAGAGAAAGTCTATGAATACACAAATATACGAATGCATAAATATGTATGGAACCTATTGGAAAATGCTAATGAGACAGAATAGCTAACATGCAAAGTATTATAACTGCTTCACTGACATACAATTTCCTTACATATCCGTGAAAAAGTATCATTTATTGAATGTTCTATGATAAAAAGTTTAATTTGTTTGATAATGTTACAATGTAAAAATTGATTGTTAGTAGTCTTTATTGAGACAATAAATATGTATGTATATTCTACAGAAAAAGATAAAAGTGAGGTTAGTGCTGCAAGCAATAGATCATTAAAAGAACAACTAGCAGTAGCACATAGCGCATAGGGGCGCATTCTCAGTAAACGAACGTTTATGTGCGTGGACTGGTGTTGCAAAGTACCACCGTTGCACCACTAATTTTATTGCGACTAATAAAATGCTCGATTTACTTATAAGTTTAGTAGAGGAACGACCCGTATTGTGGGACAAAACCTTAGAGATTTATAAAGATAAACGACGTACTTTTGAGGCATGTAGAGACATATTTATTATTCTTAAGGAAGATTTTTAAGAAATGACAAATACAGAAAAAAATATATGGTAAATACAAACATTAATTGTAAGTATACATTTCTTAAAATTATTATATATATTGGTTAAACAGTAAAGATCTCAACAGTACATATAGTATACCGAGCTACACTTTGTTCAGACTAGACTGTAAACTTATGAAAAATCATTTTCATAGCAGAACCAGAGGTGGAGGTGTGGCAATGTATGTTAGAGACAACTTAAATGGGATACCTATAGTTGCTAGACGTAATCAGAGATACATGTGTGAAGATGTGGAAGCTCTTTACCTAGATATTTAGATTAACACCTGTCACTTTCTACTGTTATTACTTTACACTTTCTACTTGTTAATAGTCCTACAAGGTTCCAGCAGAATCAGGCTCCCTCACTTTTGGACCTGATAATGGTTAATGAGGAGACTCTGATGACGGAAATAGTTCATAAACCACCCATAGATAAAAGAGTTCAGTTTCCAATATCAGGTACAAACATTAAATAACTCAACCAAGTTTAAACGATACTATGAATCTATTACCTTTGACCACTATAACACAGACTTAGCCAAGAACCTTACAGGTGACACAGAACAGTTGTGGTCGGGAATCTTGAAAGCGATCAACACCACCACAGACAAGCATGCCCCAGAAAATATAGTTAAAAATAAAACTAAAAATAAGCCTTGGATCAATGAATGTGTTCTCAATCTAGTTGTACATAAGAAACTGCTATGGGATGAATACAGATCTTCTGGCTCAGGCGATGATTACATGAAATTCCGTGAGATTAGCAACAGGTGTGTTGCTCTATCTAGGAAACAAAGAGTGTACGTCTCTCAAAAATACTGGAACATGGTGACAAAGCCTTCTACTCTCACGTACGACGATGCACATCTACCAAAGTAAGCATCCCACCAGCAATTAGCAAGACATAGTAACGAATCCCAGTGATATACTGGAGGTATTTGCAGAGGAATTTTTAAAAGCTTACTCAGAAGAATCCGTCATGGACCAACACACCACAATAGCCTCAATTGCCCGAGTAGAGAACAGTTTAAATGACATTACATTCACGGTAAAAGATGTGCAAGAAACTATGTTAAAATTGAACACACAATCCTGTCCTGGACTTGACAAACTACCAAGTAGCATACTCAAACACTGTGTAAAGGTCTTAGCTCCCACTTTGACAGAACTAATTAATAAATCTTTCAAACCGGGATATTTGCCTCAAGATTGGAAGCACGCTATAGTTACTCCTATTTTTAAAAAAGGAGACAAGACAGCCTGGAAATTTTCGTCCCATAAGTCTCACCAGTATTGTGTTCAAAATTATGAAAAGAATTATTTGTGATCGACTAAATCAGTTTTTGAATCGGGAATATTAACCAAACAACATGGATTTGTACGAAAAAGATCAACTGTTACAAACTTGTTAACATGTGTGAATGCAAGGAGCAAAGAACTTGATAATAAGAACCCAGTGGATGTAGTGTACCTGGACTTTGAAAGCTTTTGATAAAGTTCCGCATCAGCGCCTCTTAATAAAGCTAGATCACTTCGGTGCACGTGGGACTCTACTTAAATGGATAGACAATTATGTTAAAAACAGAACATTCCAGGTACGTGTCGGTAATTCCCTGTCGCAACTAAAGTGGGTACTGAACGGGGTACCGCAGGGATCAGTACTCGCTCCCCATCTATTTGGAATATATGTAACAGATCCAGTTGAGCTCATAGATTCCAATTGTGCCTTTTTGCTGATAATGGAAAGTTTTTTGCAAATCCACTTATAAACTCTGGACAATTTCAAAAAGATCTACATCGTATACAAGACTGGACCAAAGATTCGATTATCAAATTGAATGCATCAATATGTAGCATTTTGCATCTTGATAACAATAACCCCAAAGTCACATACAACTTGCATGGAAATACCTTAGCCGCAGTCAAAATTCAAAAAGCTCTTGGAGTCAATATCGCATTCAATTTAAAGTGGGGTGAGCATATCATTACAACAGTCAAGAAAGCTAACTCCTATATCTATGTCATACGCAGATCGTTCCAAACAATGACAGTAGATGTGTTACTCAAAATCTATAAGACCTATATACGGCCACTGCTGGAATATGGATATCAAGTGTGGAGCCCTTATTTCCAAAAAGATATAAACCTTCTTGAAAACGTTCAGAGGAAGGCAACTAAAATGCCACAGGCTCTTCGACGCAAATCCTATGAGGAGAGACTACACGTATTACGCCTCACTACTCTGAAAGAAAGACGTCTTCGTGGTGACCTTATCGAGACTTATAAAATTCTGATGAGTCCGTACAATCTACTAGCACTACAAAACATCTTTAAAAGAAAAGAAAACTTTAAACCTTCACGTGGCCACCATCTGAAACTAGTTTGTGCATCTTCCAAAACTCCTGCTGCACACAATTTTTTCAGCAACAGAGTGGTGCACAATTGGAACATGTTACCGGAAGATGTTGTTTCTGCTGTCTCTGTTAATGCCTCCAAAAGCAAGCTCGACAACTGGCTACGAAAGAGTGAATTAGTGCTAAAAAAGTGAACTAAAACAACAATATAAAATTCAACACTGTGTGATGTAGACATACCACCGAAAGCTGCTCGTTTATAATCAAATAAATAAATAAATATATAGTAAATACTTTGGTAGTATTTATCTTGCTATAGTAATGCACCTACATCAGAGGAAAAAAAATTAGTAGACTCGTTAATGCATTGACACATTTACCCTACACACATCTGCCCGAAAGCATTCATATCGTTTACATGCTCATCATTTTCTTATCTGGAACAGACACGACATATTTTCGTGGTTAGATCCGTCAAAGTTCTTGTCGTGTACAAGACCATTCTCATCTTTTCTGTAGCAGACACGTCACGTTCTTAGCGTGTACATGCGCCGTAAGGGTGGTGGTTTACTTTAAGCTTAAACTTGCTGGTTACATTACAGGCACATGGGACTTGTCAACTTATGACTCAGTGCCCCTCAGATTTTTGCGACTTAAAGCTCTGAGTGGCACTGCAACTGTTGGGGATAGGCGTGTAGCTTACCATCAGGCACATGACTTGTTCGTCCCTTTACTTAATGCCATAAAAAAAAAAAAATTAACACATTTGAAATGAAGTGAAAGACTTTATTTCAGACGCGCAATTTATACAGTCATAGGTATAGACCTAACATTATTCCACGTTATTAGGTATACCTTTTTAATAGAATGCGAAATGTTAATTTTCATGAACATGTATGGATATTCAATGTTTAAAAATTTGACACTCTATTCTTTCTGCTCTCATAGAAGATTGTTGATGCTACCCCTCAATCTCACCAACTCTCTCTACTCTGTTATGTACCATAGGTTCAAAACTACCAACCCTAAACTCCACGAACATCCCTGTGGTGCTACAGTACTGAGGCAGCCCTAGTGCCTCAAGGTGTTGTTAAATTTATTTATAAACATATATAATTTTTCTAGTTAGCAGTATCACATATGATAGCTTCTTCAACTGAAGTAGAAAAATAGAAAGTTAGTTAAGTATGTTATTGAATGAGCATTGCATGTATGCTACCACCACCACTTAGTTCAATACTATGTCAACAGATCGCACCTCAACACTTTTTGTACGGAAAATAAACGAACATTTTATAAGCACCATCTATTGTGCAGGGGTGCAACAAAAACTAAGAAAACAAACTCTGAACATAAATCAATGTAAATAATACAAATACTATGTGTGTGTGTGTGTGTGTGTTTCCCATAATTGAACAAAAGACATTATGCAATACTTGTGTAATCTTCACATCATACATGCTGGTATCATATTAATACTTCACTTTTACATTATATTATACTTGTATCATCCTGACTATAATACCATACCATGGAAATACTAATATAAATGCAAAATATAATAAACCACATAATTATAAATATATGACTGTGTCTATAATAATCAAATATTTGTGACAAAAATTTCATAATTTCTAGAAACTTCCTAAGGTTAAAGTAGAATTGGTTTTACAAACCACTGTTACCTACACATTTTTTTTAATAGAAGGCCTATAGATAAGACTAATGTTGCTTCAGAAAATTTAAAATAAGTTTTAAGTTTTCCAGAGCTTCATATTGTTAGTTTTTGTTAAGTAATGCATTGAATGTGTTTTGGTTAAGTTCTCTAACAAAATCAATTTAGAAATTGGTGCTGCACTTATTTTATGGTAGGTATTTTACGCATAATGTCCTACATTTTGAACAATGTACTGTATAGTACTGTAGTACTTGAAAAAAAGTCAAACATGGTTTTTAGCCGACTTCAAAAGAGGGATGATCAAATCGACTGTTTTTTTATGTAGGTTATGCGATAACTAACATTTCTGAATCAATTTTGATTTCTTCTTTTGTTGGAAGGAGGATACCTCTGAAGTGGTCCCATTTAAATTTGAACAAAATGTTCCACCTCTAAGGGTGGCAAACTAGGGGATGAATGACTTGAGGTCGGTTTTTTTAGTACTCTGTTCCGAGTTTATTCCTACAGTGATCACATTTTTTTGCTAATTTAAATTATGAATTTCCAAAGCAAAATGAGAAGAGCAAAAATTCTAGAGCAAAGTGGCGTTCCCTAGTCTTTGCATACCCTTCCTTTGGGACTAGGGCGTGAGCTTATGTATGTCCTGTTTAAAAATTTAATTTTAGTTTTAACTAAGTTTAAGTTTTAAAATTTAATTTGAAACAGGACGCAAATATTTTGAGACAGTGAAATACTAAAACACTGACCCCTGAATTTTTTTTCAAAATGGCATTTTCACCCTTTATACACTGTTGATATATTATTCATTCCATTTACATGTGGTTATAAAAAAAAATTAAACTACAAGCACCCGTTATCAAAGCAATTTACGTTTTCTACAGTCAAATCAGTGATAAATTTGTGACAAGAGATTAACAATACACTGCCTAATATAAATTATGATTTCATCATGTTTTATGCCATTGTTACAGAAAATCGATCTAAAATGACAAAACAACCTCAACGTACATGGGTTTTAATGTTTTGAACTACGTAACGAGTAGCACCTTGCGTATATAACTGACGGTAATCAAGGTTGCAGTGTGGCATGCAAATTTCCATCTCCTATACTAAAATAATACGAAGTGTCACATATATAGCATTACATAGAATGTTATTTACCTAAATCAAATGATTTCACCGTCGCCAAAGCATCCCATTTCGACTGATCCTGATTTTCCATGGTGATTGGTGATGTTGGTTTCACGGTCACTGCAGCAAGAGTTTTTGGATCCAGGACTTGAGTTCATTAAAATCTCTGCACACCATTTTTTCTACGCAAAAACCATTACGTTTTTGCGTGCACAGAATTTAGAAAGATAGCACATAGCTTCAGAGCGTATTTTGGAAATTATTGACAAAATAAACACAAACCAAAAATCACAACACACAAATTACACCATTTACAGCTGATGAACTATAGACACGTTGTTCTTTTTTCTGAATTGCGCACTTCACCTTTATTGTCTATGATACGAGTGAAGAACGCAACATTTTGGTTTGGAAGCTATTTCCATTCCTCTTAGAGATGGGCAATGGGTTAAAACCCAATTAACTCGTCCGGAGTTTAACCCAAAGCGCCGCATTTGAACGGATATTATTTGCATGCACTTAATACCCTTGCAATCCTATGTAATCTTATTACTATAATCCGAATTTTATGAAGATCAATTTCAAGTGCTTACATGGTCAAGAGCACGTCAAGCTTAACATTTTGTACTTTGGATCGTTCTTATCGTAAACGGCTGGATTTGAATTTAAGTGGAATTCGATGTAACGATTTTTCATATCGATTTATATCAATGAAATTATCAAGTGAATCGATTCAATAGAAAGGCAAATAGTGTCGTTTACATTAAAAACCAGTAAACATTTTGTAATAATATCATTACATTTGAATTAAACTCGCATTGCAACACATATAAATCGTTTTTGCTCTCGGTTTCGATGTTCATAGGTTCTAACCCGATTTAACTTTATCCTCTACCTATAAAAAAAGTAAGAAGGCATTTTGATGCTTCCAGTCATTCGAGTATTTTGACAGCAAAACAAATAGCGTGTATTGTTGTGAAAATTTTGTCAGGAAACTACACAATAAAATAAATTAAAATGAATTTATTGCCTAAAAGTCACAAAGAATTCAGCGAAAAAGATTATTGGAATAAGTTTTTCAAAAAAAGAGGCAACAAAGCTTTTGAATGGTAAGGTTATGTTTACGATTAGTTTATCCAAGTTTATCGCTGAAAATTTGCCAAAATTCTGTAAAAACCGAGTGCAATATCTTGTTAAAGGTATGGCGAATATCTGGAACTGTGCGCACAGCTACACAAATACATAAAACAGAAAGATTCTATACTCGTAACAGGCTGCGGCAACTCGAGTCTAAGCGCTGACATGTACGACGTCGGATACACAAATATCACCAACATAGACGTGTCTGAAGTCGTAATAAAACAGATGACGTCGGTAAATTCCCATAGAGTTGATATGAAATTCATATATATGGACGCTTTGAATATGAATTTTGAAAATGATAGTTTTAGCGTAGTTCTTGACAAAGGCACTCTAGATGCTTTGATGCCTGACGATTCTGAAGAAACTAATAAGAGTATAGACAAGTATTTTTCTGAAATAAAGCGTGTACTGAAACTTGGTGGGCGCTATTTATGTGTAACATTGCTGCAGAGTCATATTTTAAATAAGCTGTTAACTTTCTGTGATAAGTCGTGGATGTTCCGCATTGTGCGGTGTCATGAAGCGGAGGAGAAAAATGCTGAAAATGGTGATGGGACTACTATGCCTGTATTTATGGTTGTCGCTACTAAATTCAAGGAGATGCCAAAGATGGTAAGCGTGCTTTTAGGAACAATAAAATATAGTCTATTGTCTATTGAAGTGCATTCTGAAGAATCATGTTCTATTTTCATTTCACTTTTAATGTAAGCTGCTAACTGATGAACTGCATGTCTGCAGTTATTGCATGCAGTCTTGTTTTCAACTGCCAATGTTGGCTACAATCAATGTGAACAATAGTTTATGCATCTAATGCAGAAATTTTACTTGTAATTATTACTTTTTTTATAAACAAAACCATCCTCAAAAGTTTGTGGAATTACATTGAATTTTCAAGTTTTCTTGAAATTGATTTGCAGAAAGAAGGTTTTATTTTTTATTTACAAGATACACGTAACATTTGTGCACCCATTTCCACATTAGGAAACACATCAAGTTACTTAGCTAAACATGCAGGATGTCTATTTGTAGCCTGGGGGTCTACTTTTGATCTCCGTCCGACATCCATCCGAAACAATTATTGTCAAATAAGTAAGTCAGATTCCCTTGAGAAGAATAAGTAATTAGAGATTTCTCTTTGGAAATAAACTTTTGTCATACTGAAGCCTATATGGCTTTACGGTATTCAGTTATAGGCCGCTGCCTTCAAAGCAAATATCCAATGCCAAGTTCACGTCATCTTAGGCACATTGGTGCCTTTTAACTAAAAAAACAATATTATCTCATGTTCCATACCCTCCTGGAAGCTAGGTGAGACAGTAGTATAAACTAATCTAAACTATCACTACAATACGATTCGAGAAGGTCAAGGTCACGGCCCGCACTATAATGTCGAAGTTTCCTGGGTATCATGCAGTTGTATTTATCGGCCTCGCGCATACAATCTGTCTATTAGCAGCCGTATGGCCCCCATATACGGGTGTTTTGTATTCGCGATCAGTCGTTTTAGATTGACAAATCGATAGTGTGTATTTATTTTGTTAACGATTAACTTGAACAGTTACGACGGGTCGATACGATTATCGTGACGATAGATCGGGGCCCATAGAGACTCACTTTGTTTTACAAAGCTTTAAAAACAAACGTATCTTATGCACACAGCAAAATAAGAAAATCTTCTATAAATCTTACTATGAAGTCACATGTTATTTCAAATCATCACTTACTAATGTCAATATCCTGAATTATCAGATCCTGGAAGTGTGCATGGTGGGAGACAAAATGTTGCGGCTTGACTCAACCGAACAGGTGCGGGAGTGCGTCAAATCTGTGCAAGACACTGCGTTCGTCACCAACGGACTGGCCAGAACCAGCTTGGATGGTGACGGTGAGGTATAGATTTCCCTACATCTCATCAAATAAAATTTGTAAAAAGAAACTTTCAGAGTCTTCATCAGTACATCTAGCATAAGAACATTTTTCACTCAGGTATCGTTGGACTTAATGCTACCTGGTGATGATTCTCCTCGTTACACACTCTACGTAGTCGATCAGAAAAAATCGCAAGCTGTCAACAAGTATGCCGTCTTCATTGTGCCACAGGGCAGGTACGCTTTATTAATTATCTGTTTAGTTTCTTGTTGGTCATACCATGCAGCGTCGGATCTAGCCCATGTAGCGCTCGGCTGCAATCAATGCAATCAAATCAATCAAAAAAAATCTGAGGCTATAATTAGGCTATGTTTGAAATAGGAAAAGGCGATTTCAGAGGCTACTTAATAAAATGTTTGGGGCATTACAAATTTTATTGAGGATATTGTGGGGAATGGAGTTGTAAAATAACTCATTTGGGGGTTTGAGTATTTCTACGTGTGGGGAATTGGGGAATCTACTACTCATTCGTACGGCAGATATCCCTGAGAAGATTAATAATTTGATATAAAAATTTGATTTCTATGTTACGTACGTTTGTGAATAATTAGCAGCAATACCTGTCTCTCGCTATTTCGTACTTCATGCTAGCTTTGAAGGAAAACACCTTGATGAAGCCTTTACATTTCAATAGCAGCAGAGCTCCTTGTGAAAGAGTTCGTCTAGGGAAGTTCTGCCACCTTATCTATTTCTGCTGTCAAGTATTAATGTGACCATTGCGGCGTTCCTGTTGTAAGGGTGCTGGTGAAATTACAGGCACATGTGACGATTTAAAACAATGAGTGGCACAGTAATTGTTATGGACAGGCGTGTAGCTTACCACCAAGCGCATGATTTGTTCGTCCCATCACTTGATATTACAAAAAAAAACCTGTATATATGTATTACAAAACATAAATTTTCCAAACGGCAATGGGCCAGACTCTAAAACTGAACTTCGACATACGCTACTCCGACAACATGTTACATCGACATGATTTTACTCAGACATTACGTTACTTCGACATTATTTTACTCAGACACTACGCTACTCCGACAACATGTTACATCGACATGATTTTACTCAGACATTACGTTACTCCGCCAATACGTTACTTCGACATTATTTTACTCGTACACTACGCTACTCCGACAACGTGTTACATCGACATGATTTTACTCAGACACTACGGCGAAAATAATAATTTATGTTTTTTCCGTTTAGGTACTGTAATTAGGTTTTAGTACATACATACATGAAATAGTGTAGTAAAAATTTATATCTTAATCTAGTAGTTTTTGTTACACTTTATATAAGTAATAGAATTTTTCGATTATATGATTTTGTTTTTTTTTGTTATATTGATCGATATATAATAAGAAACCATTTCCTAGATGGGTTTGTAATGATAATTTTTCTTATCAGAGTAAAAACGATTTTTTTTAATAAACACCTCGTCTGTGTTGTCGATGTAGGGTAGTGTCTGAGTAAAATCATGTCGATGTAACATGCTGTCGGAGTATCGTAGTGTCTGAGTAAAATAATATCGAAGTAACATATTGTCGGAGTAACGTAATGTCTGAGTAAAATCATGTCGATGTAGCATGTTCTCGGAGTCGCGTGTGTCGAAGTTCAGTTTTAGAGTCAATGGGCCAGCGTTTCGGACTATATAACCTAAACCCTCGCCTTAAAGAAGATCTGTTTCCAGCTGTGAGACGTGAAATAGGTTGATTTTTTTTATGATACCAAGTGGATGACACGCCTGTCCGTAGCAGGTGCAATGTCTCTCAGAGTTTCATATGCAAAAACGTGCAGCGCACTGGCACTGCACCCATCACTCTGAGATAAGTTGATAAGTCCCACGTGCCTATAATTTCACCAGCATCCTTACCCTTCAAAACCGAAATGCAGTAATGCTCACATTACTGCTTGGCGGCAGAAATAGGTTACGTGGCAATATTTTCCTGGACGAACTCATTCCCAAGGAGCTTTACGGCCACTGTATATATTGGATATACAAACACCGTGTATCTACTTGCAAAATTTTTCTCTATATTTCGATATATATATCGTACGTAAAGAATCGTATGCCCAAATCCGCAACTTTATATGGAATATTTTAATATATTGAAAGGACTAAAATGAGTATAATACCTACGATTAAATTTAATACATACTCATTATTTTTCATGCTTTATGATTTTAATGCAGAGTATAATATGACATACAAAAAATTAAGTGACTTATGAAAAATGCACCTATTTTTGTAACTTACTATAGATTACGTAGGATTAGTCGATTTATACTCCAGGGTCATTTGTTCCAATTCATATCTCGTATCACGTACCTGTTTTACCAGTGTTTGTTTTCCTTGTATAATGGAATAAAAGCCAGCAAAAATATCATCATTTTTTAAAGCACAACCCACGCACTAGCTCACACTGGCGTTGGCCGTCAGACGTCCATCGAGGCATCACAACAAGCAGCAAAAATAGGGGCATACAATTTTAGCTGCATTGATAACGCGAAAACATCTCGAAGAATGTCACACAACTACGCACACACTTTAGTAAACAACACTAAAATACCTTGAAACCAAAAATATCTTGGAGATAGTTCTTCCACCTCGCAGTGATATTTATGACTTTGATACGAGAAAATAATAACTTTTTTATAAAAAAGAAAACCGACCCCAAAAGATCGTGGAATTACATCTATTTTCCAAGATTCATCCCCTAGTTTACCACCCTTACAGGTGGAATATTTTCTTCAAATTAAATGGGACCAACACTATGGGAGTTATCGCGTTACATACATACGAAACAAAACACAGTCGAATTGAGAACCTCCTCCTTTTTTTTACAGTCGGTTAAAAATAAACACGCTTTCATATAATGGGCAATGTTATTATATAATTGCATTCCAATTACGGTGTTTTTTGTAAATTTTTACACGACCAGATTGCATAGGACTTGAAAGGCCGTTCCCGTAGCAAAATTGTTTGTGTGAAGTAGAAAAATGTCATTCTATATAGGGTATAAATTTAAAACGGGGCAGCAAGGCCCGCTACCTTAATCGTTGTAGTTACGGGAAAAAGAAACAAAACGAAAAGCTTTTTGCGATTTCTGACATTTCGAGTACTCTTACCTCAGTTGGTCTCATAGAGACTATCGATCCTCACCAGAGACCGGGTCGAATGGCATAAAAAAAAGGTTTTGTAAAAATTGTCCTTTATCTTGCTCACTGTACCATTTTTCCAAATCTGTGAATTCCAATCAAAATATCTTCTTAAATTCATGGATAGTCTCCTAGAACCGTTTTCCTGTAACTACAACGATTAAGGTAGCTGGCCTTGTTGCCCCGTCTCAAATAAACACCCTGTACAAAGTGCCGAAAAAACACGCCTATAAAAATTCACTATTGAACATCGATTGCCACAGCGGTCATTCCCTTTACTCATCCAGCCATTTTTTGTCGAAAACAAACATCACATAGGCTCTTTTCAAAACAGCTTTAGACGACTTGTAATCTGTTCAGAGTTGCGATCACGTGGCGTTCCCGGATTGGATCCTGCTACCGCGCCCACATCGGGCCCGTATTTTCACCACTAAGTTGTTTTCGGACAGTTAGTTAATGGAGAATATCGAATTCGGTCTTCAGGACTCTAAAGTGCTGTGAAGTTTTCATTCATAAAACTGTCACTTACCTATTGATTACATAATATATTCAATTAATAAAAAGTATTGAATTAATTGGAATTGTTGGATCTGTACTTTTACAATTTAATTGGTCGATATAAATCATTTGCAAGTAAGTATTTTATATATTTACATCTTGGTAATAATATTACAGGTAAAGTCACTTTTAATTCAAAATAATGATGATATAAAATAATGAAGAATAATAATAATGTAATATCAATTCGTAGGTTTTCGCGATTGTCAAATATTGGAAATGACAGTATCAGACGACTTTACCGTCACAGCCATAACCATGGGATCTGAAAATAATAATATAACTTTAGTTTGTTAGTAAAATAATAATATAACACTAACACTCATAGTCCCGTACTAGGGAAACCCTGTATCGCGGG